TGTTTCAATGCAAATAGTGGAGGAGGGGGAAAAAGAAGAACTAAAGGCAGAGAGAAAGGAGAGGTTGGAAGTAGAAATTAGAGAGACAAACAATGGCAAACTTAATGGAGACACAGGCCAGAGTGCTGGAATCCTAAATAGCAGGATTTTTATAATCTAATTTTATAATTAAAATAATGTAACTTTTAAACCTATATACTTTCAGGCAGTAAAGCTTCACAGATGCAGAGAAAGATCCTATCTTGTTTCTGGAAGGAAAGCATCCTGAGCAGACACAGGAAAGCAAAGCAAAACAAAGTCTGTCCTGCATCAGAACATAAAAGTTATATTCAAAGCAGGGGAAAAAAAAAAAAAAGAAAAAAAAGGCAAGCATGTTAAGCAATATGAAAAGTTTCAGCAGTCAACATGAGCAGTTTCTGCTACAAACGTACGCAAAAAGCATGCAGTCACAGCTGAAATATGTACAGCAAGAGCTCAGATACTGTTTACACTTTTGCATGAAAGTCAGTGTCTGCAGGCATCCAAAGGCTTGGAAAACATACCATTTCATTATCCTCTTCTTCTTTTTCATCTTCCAAGAAGCGAATTGCACTGACTCTGTTCACTGCCCGCTCATTCCATGTTTCATCTGACATTTCATTTACCAAACTCTCCAGTGCACCACATCGTGGTAGGTTATCTGTTAGAAGAGCAAGACATAACTAAAGATTCCCAAGTGTAAAACATCAACATGCTATGTTGTTAATTACTGCAATATCCAACCAATCACTCATCTGATATTTACATTTGGCGATTTCTTTTTTTCTTTTTTAAATAGAAAACAGAACTTGTATTAATTTTTTTATCAAGTACACACAATAAATAGTTTCTGTATGAATGAGAAACTTCTGTACTTGGACTGTTTTCAGGCTTGTGGCGGTTTTAGACTACTAATTATACAATTTAATATACTTTACAATATATCTACTTTTCTTTTGGATCATGGCTGACATCTGACATTAGCCAATTCCCTAACTGTCATTCCATAACACAGGATCGTTGCTTTTACTGACCTCATCCTTTCAGTATTACTAAGCATACACGTCCACCAATCTTAATTCCAAGTCTTCTACCCTTAAAGCCATGAGATTCATCTGGAGAGGAAGAAATCTAATTTCTAGTAGTGAGCTCTAGCTTGAGCTAGCTGCTTAATCTCCTCTAAATCTAAAGGGGTTAATTTATTTATTTTAATTCTTAATGCAATTTGTATTCTTAATATCCAGAAGCTGACACAAAACATAGCCATTTCTACACTTGTAGGGTTTCTATTTGCCCCAGCTGTATAGTATTGAAAGGGTGGAATTATCCTAGACAAGTTTGGGTACCTACAACCTACAGCTGAGCTTTTCTCTTCAGGCCTCCTTTGTACCCGGTGGAGAAGAAACTACACGATTTCTTTTAAAAGTCTGTTCTTGGATGGGATAAATTACTCCCCAGTGATTACAACAGAATTTTAAATATTAGTTCAGATGAATTCCCTTGAATGTTCACACATTCCTATAAAAGCTCGAGGACAAAAACATCAACCCAGCCAACAGTGAAAAAGTTTATGGTTCCACCTGACCCAGAGGCAGGTTTCAGGACAAAAGGTAAAAACAACTTATACTGGCATTCTACACTCATTGAAGAATATAACAAAGTTACTGTACAGCATAGAATCATAGAATGGTTAGGGTTGGAAGGGACCTTAAAGACCATCTAGTTCAAAGCTCCCTTCCATGGGCAGGGACACCTTCCACTAGAACCGGGTGCTC